GATGCTAGATCTGCCCCACAACTCCATTAAAATGATTGGGGAGAAGGTGGGTGCAAGCTCGACGGCGGCTACAGGACAGGCGCAAGCTTGACGGCGGCAGGCAACAACACGACGCAAGCCCGATCGGACGGTGGCGGTGCGAGCCTTGAGGAGGTCAGGCGATTAGCGGCGGATGGCTTAGACACAAAGGCAAGGGGCGAATCACGGAACCTTGGGGCGAACCCGTGGTTTTATAGGGGGCGACGGCGAGAAGGGCAACCGTCCGCCTCGATCTCCGGGCTTGCCACAGCACCGCCACACACGTCATGGGACATGCGCCCATGATCCCTATCCTTTCCCATCGAAAATCACGATTGGACGGTTCACCTTCCCCAGGCAAATCCAAACTCTCTTCCCACCTGGGGAAGGCAGGTCACAAAGATTTTTTCTATTTGGCCCACCTAGGGCCTAGAAGCTCGGCGGCCGGCCCAACTGAGGGCAGGTCCACGAACGATCCGAAATCAAGGGCGCAGGCATTACTGGGGTCTCGATCCATGGTCAAGCCCCAGTTAGGTCAGCCCGAAATGAGATCCCCACGAACGGGATACCACGACCCCCTCAAAAAAATATCCAGTTGACGAAAAAACCAAGTCCTTCAGCCTTACCCGTGAAGGGTCTGATACAACCCCCCAGGCGGTTCTATCCGAATCACCTGGAGGCTCGGGGGCTACACCCATCGGGTGCGCTCGCGCGCACCCTCTGGCAAAATGACTCCGACGAAATCGAAAAACACCCTCCAGGCGGTTCTATCCGAATCACCTGAAGGCTCGGGGGCTACTGTCGGGGACCTAATACCAGGGTACCCCAGAAGGTGGAACCAATAACCATCGAACGTTAAAAACTTCTAGACGGACAAGGGCGTCGCTGCGTTCCTTGCCCGAATGACGAAAGTTAGGTTCCGTCTCGCCCGATGCCTTTGGGCCAGCCCCGCCTCACCCGAGGGCAAAGGGCCCCGAGGGCAAAGGGCTGGCCTCCATCTCGCTCGACGCCTTTGGGCCAGCCCCGCCTCGCCCGAGGGCAAAGGGCTGGCCTCCGTCTCGCCCGACGCCTTTGGGCCAGGCCCGCCTCGCCCGAGGGCAAAGGGCTGGCCTCCGTTCCGCCCGACGCCTTTAGGACAGCTCTGCCTCACCCGAGGGTTGAAGGCTAGTCTCCGCCTCGCCCGAGGGCTGAGGGATACACTCCACCTCGCCCGACCCCCGAGGGGTGGGTTCGGTCACGCCCAAGGGATAAAGACTGGGCTCCGTCTCACCCGACGACTGAGGACGAACCTCACCCCATTCGATGTCCAAAGGCTGGTTTTATCTTACCTGATAACTTCTCTCCCGTTCCCTCATGATGATGGAGTGCGATTGCAAGACAAGACGTTGGGTCAACCACGGCTTCAGGACCATACCTCGCATACTGTAGGAAAGGTACTTTGCCAGGAACGATCGAGACAGTGCTTTAGACCCTCCGGGCGCCGCAGAGCCCAAAAGGTATTGCGGTAGCGTACCCTCGCCCTATAGAGTTGTAGGCGCCGCCTTCAGCTCTGGGACACGAGACCCGATGAAGATACACGACAACCACTATACTCTAGAAAAGGATTTGTGATCTCCACGAATGACGGACATGCCATCACCACATTATGGACCCAAGGGAGCGACGCCCGCTTCCCGACCCCTCGGGTCCACCAAATCAAAGGACCTTGCCCACAGCGCTACTCCCACCTCGACTCAAGGTCCCTCCGACAGAGACTCATAGAGCTGTATATGCGTGAGGAAAGGTGGCCGAGGTCCATAAGTCAAAACCACTGTACTCCAGCCCATACCCTGCGTAGGGCACTATTCTATAACCATCCTGACATTCTGCAGAAGCATCGACAATATTGTAGGCGCTTATCATCCTTTCGCACCCATTAGAATGGGTAAGGAGGCCGGGTAGAAGTGAGCCACAAGGCTAGGTAGAGCACGGATCCTAAGCCCTGACCCTTGTAAAGCCATTCCCTTCATCTATAAAAGGGGATGCGCTTCCTCCAGCTGGGGGGACGAAAAACAACGCAACACACACACATAGTCAAGCTGCTACCAAGCTCTTGGCTTCCTTTCGACCCTTCCATCAGAGACTTGGGACTGTCCCTCTCTCGATCGTTTGTATCCCCTACTACTTAACCATTCACGGTTACTAATAACACACCAAGACAATAAATCGGGCGTAGGGATATTCAGCCCGAACCAGTATAAATCTTGTGTCCTTTAGCGCACCATCCGAGCCTAACGCGCATTACTATAAATTTACTTGCCGGTGCTTGTATGAAACACCGACAAGAATGGACTGTTCAAAGATACCGACAGGCCTAAAAAATCTGTAGCCTGGCAATCTTAGAGTTTTCTTTTTATATTCTCTAACATTTTGATAGAAAACAAACGAAAAAGAAATGATCAAACCTCGCTCTCTGAAGTTCCCATGGTAGAAACGACGTGTCTCAATCGGTAATGCTTCAAAGAAGATCCTTTGCGTGATCATTGGAGGGAGAGAAAATCAGTTCAAATCAGTATGAATGAAAAAGATAAGCAAATACGCATGTAGCATTAGATGCTATTAGGGGTGTGATCAACAAAAAAGAGTGCCACAGACAACAAATTACTAATAACAAAGATAAGCATTTGATGCCAGAGCTATACTGCTACAGATTTTCACATTTGATTTTATCTCGAAAGTAAAAGTTCTTACTTAAGAACCTTATAATCCTAAATAATCCCATAATCTTTCGGAAAGAAGATAAAAGTACCGGAAGTTTCGTGAATGAGTGTAGCGAGATGCTCATGCTAAGGCTACGGTTTCATCATACCGTGCAATCAACATATGAAACACCTCTAAAGAGCTTCATCCTCACAGCTTTCAAAACCTCGCACGTCACAGAGAGAGGGCTATCTTCTTTGCCACTACCATTAGCCCTGTACATATAACAAACAAAATGGTTAGGCAACATGTATAAACATGATAACATATGCAAGAACTATGATAATGTGGCCCCAAGCAAGAAGTTATGGGGCTCACAACACATGCAACCATCCTGAAAAGGGGTACTATTTCTAGCAGATCACCAGATAGCCTTGACATTAGAAATTCAGGATAAATAAATGCATTTGGCAACATACACAAGGCTATATCAATCTAACAAAGGGAAGACCAACAATTTTAACATTTCACTCAAGGAAAATTGATAGTATTTCTGATTTCTCATTCATTTTAACATGAGCTGAAATCTGCAAGCACTACAAACCAGCCCATGAATTATCTATTTGTGCAAACATAACAGAATAGGTAGCAAAAACTTACCAATCCACGACCTGCTGGATCTTGGGCTCAAAGTCCTCAGCCTGGCGAGTGTGCACACAGAGACACACAAGCAAAGGACGCCGACTGACCTCCTGCTGGGAGAGCGAGATTTCAGACAACCAGAACTATTAGACTTCTTTTTTTCAAGAAAAAAAAGAAAGAAAGAGCATAAACCAATTTGACTATGCAATAAATTACCATCTGCACAGAGAACACAATATTCATACCACAAGAATTTTGTTCCGATACAATCCAACTTAAGATACAGTGCTAATTCAAGACCATGATTTTCAAACTAAACTAACATCCATTCATATATCCATGAACTGACATCCATGATTTCCAAACAACAGAAACACCCACCATCGATCCATTCATATATCCATGAACTGACAACTCACCACAGTAGGCATAACACAAGGATACACTTGTAAATGGATTAGATCTAAACACAAATAAGCAAATAGCTAGTTAGGGTTCAAGTGCTCAGATTCGCACCGTAGCAAGAAAGTAATAGGAAGGTGAGCTCACCCTGGTGGTTGGGCGTTGATGGCCCGACGCAGCCAGCATCAGGCGGCCACGTCCAGGGGGACCGCGCCTCCAGCCACGGCGATGGCCCGGGCAGCCACGGAGCCGGCCACGGCGGAGGTTCCAGGCGCTACCAGCCGTAGTAGCCAAGGAGGTGCCAGGCGGCGGGCGGGCTCCTTGCCGGCCATGGTTGCGACTCCGGCCGCCGGGGCCAGCCACGTCGCGCGACCTCGCAGCGGGGGGGGGGGGGGGGGGGCTCTCATCGTGACTACAGCTACAACCCATCGCAGTACAAGATCCGGTAATCCAGTACGCAGTCATAATAAGTCGGTCGACACGGACCTGGCTGGGCTGGGAAGGGTACCAAACACGCTCTATTCTGATAATCTCCGCCCTGGCACAGGCAGCGAAGTCCATGTTGAGGACACCAACCAAACAGCATCCCAGCAGGTCACAGACAGCGCCTCTACCAGGCAATTTGTTGCCAGAGTTCAAACCAAACAAGCCCTGCGTTGCTAGCAGCGTGGACAACTGAAAAATTATGAAGACGCCTGCCAGAATCACACACGCATATGCAAAGGCAGCCTGGCAGTTCACTGAAACGTGGTCCAATCATTTTTTTTATTAGAGCCTTGTTTAGATCACCTCTAAATTCTAAGTTTTTTCACTCTCTTTCCATCACATCAATTTTTAGTCGCATGCATGGAGCATTAAATGTAGGTAAAAAAAATAACTAATTGCACAGTTTGGTTGTAAATCACGAGACGAATCTTTTGAGCCTAGTTAGTCTATGATCGAACAAAGTTTATCAAATACAAACAAAACATGCTACAGTGTCCAGATTATAAAAATTTACAATCTAAACAAGACCTAGATTGAAGGGGCTTGTGCCTCTACAGATAAAATAAATTACCAAAAAGAAGAGTCAACACGTACATGGTCCAATCAAAATTACCAAAGCTGCTGCATTCAGTTTGCGAAGAGGAATTGATCGCGGCCGCTTCTTCGAATCGAACCCCACTCCGTTCCTTTCCTTCCGCCGCTGCGCGTGATCCAGCCGCCGGCTCCCCGACGCCCCCCCCCCCCCCCCCCCCCCCACCCCCACCCCCACCCCGATGGGCTCCACGTGCCTGTCGTGCGGCGAGGGCGCGGTGGTGGCGGATCCGGACTCGGGCGCGCTCGTCTGCACCTCCTGCGGCGTCATCCAGGACGCCGGCGGCGCGGAGTTCGTCCACCAGTCCACCTTCAACGACTCGGGGGGCCTCGATCTCCGCGTCTCCTCCCTCGTCCGCAACAGCTCCGACTCCGCCTACCGCGACCAGAAGCTCGCCGTCGCCTCCGCGGGCATCACCTCCACCGCCACCCGCCTCGGCCTGTCGCCGGCCCGCGCCGAGGAGGCGCTCCGCATGGCCAAGTCCGCCACCGACGGCCAGCTCGCCACCCCGGGCAGCGCCTTCCTCCCCGCCCTCGCCGCCGCCTGCACCCTGCTCGTCGCGCGGTCGCACCACCTCCCGCTCTCCCTCGCCGAGGCCGCGGAGGCCGCCTTCTGCTCCGCGCCCGCCCTCGGCGACCTGGTCTCCCGCGTCGCCGCCCAGCTATCCCTCCCGCCCCTCCCCTGCTTCGACTACGCCGCCGCGCTCGACCGCGCCGTGCAACTCTCGCCCTCGCTCAACGCCGCGGCGGCCCACAAGACGGACGCGATTCTCGCCCAGGCCCGGTTCCTCTTCCGCTGCGCCTCCAAGTGGTCGCTCACCACCGGGCGGTTCCCGCTCCCCCTCGTCGCGGCGCTGCTCGCCTTATCTGCGGAAGTTAACGGGGTCACTTCTCTCTCCTTGGAGGACATTGCCCGGGACATCTCGGCGGGATTGAGGACCAGCCTCCGCCGATACAAGGAGCTCGTTGACGCGCTGGTGCATGTCGCGCGCCACCTGCTTCCGTGGGGCGCCGATGTCAATGCCAAGAACCTGCTCCTCAACGCTCCAGTCCTGCTCCGGCTCATGGAGATGCGGTCACAGTCGGACCCTTCTGAAGAGTTTCTTGAGATCTTCGCTCCGAACATTGCTGCAATTGTGCAGGCGTACTCTAAAGTTGACGACGACGAGTCCAAATACCTTCAGATTACTCCTGTCAGTGCTGATGACTTTGATTTCGATAGTCTTGAGCCAGAGGAGAAAGAATTTGAAAACCAGGGTATCTCAGAGAAGGGCCTATCAGATGCTTACAAAAATGTCCTAAATAGGCTTGCCCAGCTACAGAAACTTGGGAAGGTTGGTAAAGGTGCTGACAGGAGGAAGCGATTGAAAGGAGGACTGGAGCTGGAGCCGTGTATGGACGCAGTGAATAGTGGCTGGAAAAAGGATATGCTGCTGGAGGATGTGGTGGATATTGACATTGGCTATGATGCACCTCCGCCATCGTTTACTGCTGGTTTGGAGTTGCAGAAGGAGAGGAGAGCACGTATTGAAGCTGCCAAGCAGCGGATTGATGCGATTAGGAAGGCTACTGCTGCTCCAGCTGCAAAAGCAAATAATTCAGAATCAGAAGATGTTGTAAGAAACGAATATGTCTCTCCCCTGCAAAAATTGACCAGGAAGAATCGAGGGGGAAAGAAGATGGATGATATAGATCATATCCTTCTCAGTGACAATATGGCAGACAGTTCAGGTGCCAGGAAAAAGAGACGAAGAAGAGGTTCCTGTGACGGTATTGATTGGGAAGATTGCATTATTGAGCTCCTGCTACTGCATGGTGTAAATGAAGCTGAGATCGAACAAGGCCAGTACAGAAGATTGTTGGAGTTGCATGTATTCAGTGCAGTAAGTGGCGGGGGGGTGGGAATTGAATAATGGCAATGCCTAAGATCAAGATAAGGTTCAAGATAATGTCAATGTGGTTGCTGTCCTGCTTTCCATGTGCCTCTAGCTGTACCTTATTATCTAAAATTTCCTGTATATGCTATGACGTCAGGGTAAATCATACAGTGATTTAAGGGCGGTATCTTATTCTGCTCCCTTAATTTGCAGTCTATAACATCAGCGCTGATTACTCTCTTTGTATCAAATATAGTTGCAGCAGGTTACTTGATTTGTTTTAGGGGTACAGAAAGTTAAATGACATCACAGGATTCCTTCTTTGTTAAGAAAGTATTAGACATGTGTAGTTGTTATCTTGTCTCTTTCTACAGAAAGAATGTCATTCCTTAGGGCTTCAAAAGGTGTTCTGGTTCATGTTGCCACTATAACTTGAACTATTGAAATACCTAAGATCAAGATAAGGTTCCAGAAAAAAAAATGTTTCAAGATCAGGAACTGAGATTTGTCATGCCAAATCTCCCTTTGTTTCAAACAAGGCTACAGCCCTTCCATAAAAGCATCGAGTTAGTTGATATTATTTCAGGCAACATTATAGTCCATACCACATAGATAGAGAGTTGACATTATTTTGCATTTTTATTTAAGAAACTGAACTATTTCTTTTCTTGGATTAGATGACAAGTAGAGGCTAATGATCAATACTATTTATAACATAACACCTCTAGTTGATTCCCACCTGTAAAGAAACGTTGTGCTGTCTTATTTGTCCTTGAGAAAGAACAAGATAACATATAGTTTGATTAGTTTTAGTCATTTCTGTTATTACGAAACCTTCATCTAAAATTATGGAAGTTTGATGCTCACTTTTTTTTTTGTTCATGCTCTCAATAAAGATCCTGAGAGTTCTGCTTAGACACAATTTCTTTCAACTGTATGACATAAATGATAACATGTAACCTTTTGAATAGTGTGCATCCCTGTTGTTGCCTCTCGATATTTGTCATTTCCTTTATGCGTTTCACAATGCACCTTCAATATGAATTTGACTGGTAAGCCAAATATGGCTACATGGAGTTGCCTAAATTTGTTAAAATAAATCAGGAAAAAGTAATGTCTAGACTGCAAACAATCTGTCACTAGCATGCGTGTGCAACGCATCTGCATAATTAGTTAGTAGCAAACTGATGGCTAGTCTACTTGCCATTGTTTTTCCAGGCTGTGTAATCCAACAGTATGGTTGTGGCTGGCTATCATGGTTTTGAGTCTCACTGACTGAATGTTAGGTGGATCTACTGTTAATTTTCTGGGATTTTTCCTGTTATCTCTCACAAATCACATGACAAACATAAGGGAAAAAAGCAATATATGAAACCAAGTGTGCTTTTTAGTCGACGCTTACGCTTTATTAACATAAGAACCAACTGCTACGGTACATTCTCGCACAGGATTCCAAGTCCCTATTCAGCTTTTGGCCTCCAAAACGGACCTTTTGCTAATCGCCACATGGGCAAAATGAAATTGTTATTGACCTTTTATATTTTCTTGACTTGAATTGCCTTTATGTGGGTGTCATACTAAGAGTTTGCCATCCTTCCCCAGATGTGCATTCTAATCTTCATCGGTAACAATGGTGAGACATACTTCAACACTCGCTGCACTTGTCTCATGTGTTCGAACTTCCCCAAGAGCCGTGGACCAATTGTGGGTATCCTCAAAGGATTCGCTGGATTAAGTGGTGCAATTCTAACGCAGATTTATGCAATTGTACACTCTCCGATGATGATGCTGCACTGATCTTCATGGTTGCAATTGGCCCAACAATGGTTGTTATAGCTTTAATGTTCATTGTAAGACCTGTTGGAGGCCACAGACAAGTCGCGGCCTTCTGATGGCACAAGTTTCACATTTGTATACAGCGTCTGCTTGCTCTTGGCCACTTATCTTATAGGTGTCATGTTATTGGAAGACCTTGTCGACTTAAGCCAGTCAAGGATCTGTCTTGTTGACCATCATTCTAATAATCTTTTTATTAGTTCCAATAGTCATCCCAGTTCTACTCAGCTTCTTTTTGGATGATGGTGAGACTTTCTATGCACTATTATTGCCATCACCTCGGAAAGAAGAACCAACTGCACCAACATCTTCTGAGGAGCAACAGGAGGTTATACTCAGCGAGGTGGAGGATGAAAAGCCAAAGGACGTTGATTTACTTCCAGCCTCAGAGAGGCAAAAAAGGATGGCAGAATTGCAGACAAGGTTATTTCAGGCAGCTGCTGTTGGTGCTGTCAGGGTTAAGAGGAGGAAAGGTCCACGGAGAGGAGAGGATTTCACACTGATGCAAGCGCTCATCAAGGCAGATTTCTGGCTTCTATTTTTCTCTCTTCTGCTGGGCTCTGGATCTGGTCTCACTGTGATTGATAATCTTGGGCAAATGAGCTAGTCATTGGGTTACGAGGAAACCCACATTTTTGTGTCAATGATTAGCATCTGGAACTTTCTTGGACGTATTGGTGGAGGGTACTTCTCAGAGATTATTGTCAAGTAAGATTGTTATGCTTCTTTGCTGAATAGAATTTATTTCGCATGCCATTTTATAAATATTTTGTTTTCAAATGTTTTTTGGCAGCATAGTCACCTTCCATGTTGACCTATGTTTTTGCTCCATCCGTTCCAAAATGTAGGGTTTTTAGTTTTGCCCTAAGTCAAACTTCTGTAACTTTGACAAAGTTTATAGAAAAATGCATCACCATCTAAAACATCAAGTTAGTTTAATTAAACCCAGTCTTTTCTCTTAGGTGAGTCAGTGCGGTTGCTTGTAAGGGAACGGTCTCTCTCGCTTCTCTCTAATGCAAAGATACACATCTCAAAAAAATATTTCTTGAAGTGCATTTATTTGGTATTGTAGATGTTAATTTTCTTTTATAAACTTGGTCAATGTTAGGTTTGACTTAAGATAAAACTAAAACACCTTCGTTTTGGAACAAAAGGTGTACCAAATTGTACCTAGTGTTTGTTGCTGCCATAATGTTGTTTAAGAATAAATTTCTTGCCTTCGATATAGATTTTCAGATTGATACTTTGAGAGCTGATTATGAAGGTCGACAAAAGTGGTACACCATCCCTGACAAATGCATAGCAGAGACGAGGAAACTGAAACATAGGGATTAATTTCTGGAGCTAACAAACAGAACGGAACTATAGTGTATACTAAATAGATTGAAACATAAATATTAAGTGCTGTATCTACAAACAGAACAGAACAAAGTAACATGTGAACTAAACTTGCAATACTGTGTTATTTAGTTTGCAATCACGAATTAACAAAAGTATAACTCTGAATTTCTCAACTCTTAATTTATTTAGGGTGTTTCTTATTCACATCAACTCTTTTCTTCTCTGATCCTTTTGCATTCCTTGACCTGTTTTCAGAGATTATGCATATCCAAGGGCAATTGCATTAGCAATAGCTCAAGTCCTGATGGCGATCGGGCACTTCAACTTTGCAATGGCTTGGCCTGGGACAATGTACATTGGCACGCTGCTTGTCGGAGTAGGCTACGGTGCCCACTGGGCCATTGTGCCAGCCGCAGCCTCTGAACTGTTTGGGGTGAAAATTTTCGGAGCACTGTATAATTTCCTCACTGGGAGGGAAAGAATCCCCAGCTAATTCTCACTGGGAGCACTGAGCCGCCGACGGGCAACTGACTGGATGGCGAGGCGGCGGCCTGACACACTGAGCGGCTGAGGCTGAAGCACATGACGCGTGAGTGTGGCCGTGGTGTGAGGGCTGGCCGACCGAGGCGCCACATGCGAGGCTGTCAGACAGGTTTGCTGCAGGGTTTAAGATTTAATCTTCTTATTGTTCTATAAGTAACTTGTGCACTTAATTATTTATCAGCAATTTGTTTGTGTATCAGGGAGACTAGCGAGATCACTAGATTAGGGATCGGTTCGTCCAATATTAGTACAATAGTATTAGATATTTATATCTTGCGAGGATATTTTCTGTAATAGTTTTAGTAAAAACAAGGTTAATAAATAAGATGAGTGATAGTCTTTTGGATGATTATCTAGTCTCATTATATTTTTTTAAAAGTAGATGGAGATAAGATAGTCGAGACATTCGGGCCATATAGAAACTGCTACTAAAAAACTTAGACATTCTAGCTTAATTGTTGAATTTAAGACTTATTTTCACGTTGTTTAGTGCCTTTATACCGAATTCCGTTGTAAATTTCCATAATTGTTTATCAAATGGTTTTACCAGATTGTATAAGAAAAATTTTCTGTGGCATACCCTGTGATAAAACGCTAGGTCCGCCACTGTTCCCACGAGTCTTATCAAGAGTCTTCGTTGTACTTGGGCTAACAAACAAAAGAAAATAGAGTGGAAGTTATTCAGTAGAGATAAATATATAATGTAACCTAGGTTGCAACGAGTTTTTTTTACTAGAAATACCACCATAATCCTTCTGTAGCCAAGATACTTTAATTTTTAAAACACACCTATTGAAATTTACCCATGATGCTCCATGATCCAATGAATGATGAAAAATCTTAATTCATACATTTGTAACATATTTTTTTCAGATATAGGTTTGAAGTATGAGCAATAGAAATGAAAAAGGTGCAGTTGAGAGCTTTACCTTGCAATCACATTTGACGATGACGCACTTCTCGCCCCTGGCCCGACCATGAGCCCGCCACTGTCTCACCGCCAAGCACGCCGCAGCAGAGCACCAGACTCATCAATCTTAAGCATGCGTCACCCTGAACACCAGCCAGATAAGTGGTAGTTTGAAGTTCAGTTTCCCTGCAAATATCGCAGCTCAGCTGCAGTCCTTGCTCTCTTGATATGGAACAATCTGCAAATCTAATTTCAGGTGACGCAAATTAACAACCAAACGTGGAATAAAATAAAATAGATTGAATATTCACAGAAAAAAATAGTGGGGAGAAGCCACCGTTCAAGAGCTCAAGGTATACATCTAAGTGACAAAATCATCTATCCTCTCCAATACCCAAAACATAATAAATACCTGTGCTAATGCTACGGGCCACATTAAATCCAAAGTTAATTCTATCAAATCTGAAGTACGAGCCACATTAAGATCGATTTTTAAAAAAAAAGAATGGACTGTTCAAAGATACCGACAGGCCTAAAAAATCTGTAGCCTGGCAATCTTAGAGTTTTCTTTTTATATTCTCTGACATTTTGATAGAAAAACAAACGAAAAAGAAATGATCAAATCCTGCTCTGCAGAAGTTCCCATGGTAGAAACGACGTGTCTCAATCTGGTAATGCTTCAAAGAAGATCCTTTGCGTGATCGCTGGAGGGAGGGAAAATCAGTTCAAATCTGTATGAATGAAAAAGATAAGCAAATACGCATGTAGCATTAGATGCTATTAGGGGTGTGATCAACAAAAAAGAGTGTCACAGGACAACAAATTACTAATAACAAAGATAAGCATTTGACAGAGCTATACGCTGCAGATTTTCACATTTGATTTTATCTGAAAGTAAAAGTTCTTACTTAAGAACCTTATAATCCTAAATAATCCCATAATCTTTCAGAAAGAAGATAAAAGTACCTGGAAGTTTCTGTGAATGAGTGTAGCAGATGCTTACCGTGCAATCAACATATGAAACACCTCTAAAGAGCTTCATCCTACAGTTTTCAAAACCTGGCACGTCACAGAGAGGGCTATCTTCTTTGCCACTACCATTAGCCCTGTACATATAACAAACAAAAATGGTTAGGCAACATGTATAAACATGATAACATATGCAGTAACTATGATAATGTGGCCCCAAGCAGTAAGTTATGGGGCTCACAACACATGCAACCATCTGACAAAGGGGTACTATTTCTAGCAGATCACCAGATAGCCTTGACATTAGAAATTCAGGATAAATAAATGCATTTGGCAACATACACAAGGCTATATCAATCTAACAAAGGGAAGACCAACAATTTTAACATTTCACTCAAGGAAAATTGATAGTATTTCTGATTTCTCATTCGTTTTAACATGAGCTGAAATCTGCAAGCACTACAAACCAGCCCTTGAATTATCTATTTGTGCAAACATAACAGAATAGGTAGCAAAAACTTACCAATCCACGACCTGCTGGATCTTGGGCTCAAAGTCCTCAGCCTGGCGAGCGTGCACACAGAGAACACAAGTAAAGGACGCCGACTGACCTCCTGCTGGGAGAGCGAGATTTCAAACAACCAGAACTATTAGACTTCTTTTTTTTCAAGAAAAAAGAAAGAAAGAGCACAAACCAATTTGACTATGCAATAAATTACCATCTGCACAGAGAACACAACATTCATACCACAAGAATTTTGTTCCGATACAATCCAATTTAAGATACAGTGCTAATTCAAGACCATGATTTCCAAACTAAACTAACATCCATTCATATATCCATGAACTGACATCCATGATTTCCAAACAACAGAAACACCCACCATCGATCCATTCATATATCCATAAACTGACAACTCACCACAGCAGGCATAACACAAGGATACACTTGTAAATGGATCAGATCTGAACACAAATAAGCAAATAGCTAGTTAGGGTACGAGTGCTCAGATTCGCACCGTAGCAAGAAAGTAATAGGAAGGTGAGCTCACCCTGGTGGTTGGGCGTTGATGGCCCGGCGCAGCCAGCATCAGGCGGCCACGTCCAGGGGGACCGCGCCTCCAGCCACGGCAATGGCCCGGACAGCCACGGAGCCGGCCACGGCGGAGGCCCGGGCGGCTGCGCCCGTAGCCAAGGAGGTGCCGAGGGCATATAACAGCTCCTTGCCGCCATGGTTATGACTCCGGCGGGGGGTCGACCGACTTATTATGATCACGTCATCGGATTAACGGATCTTGTAATCGCGACGGGTTGTAGTTGTAGTCGCGATGAGAGCTGCGTCGCTTCGCCGCCGCGATGTCGCGACGTGGCGTCGCCCTCCATGCCGTCGAGTCGCAACCATGGCCGGCAAGGAGCCTGGCCCCGCGGCCCCCTGGCACCTCCTTAGCTACGGGCGTGGCCACCCGAACCTCCGCCGTGGCTGGCTCCATGGCTGCCCGGGCCATCGCCGTGGCTGGAGGCGCGGTCCCCCTGTACGTGGCCGCCTGATGCTGGCTGCGCCGGGCCATCAACGCCAAACCACCAGTGTGAGCTCACCTTCCTATTACTTTCCTGCTACGGTGTGAATCTGAGCACTCGAACCCTAACTAGCTATTTGCTTATCTTTTTCATTCATACAGATTTGAACTGATTTCCCCTCCCTCCAGCGATCACGCAAAGGATCTTCTTTGAAGCATTACCAGATTGAGACACGTTGTTTCTACCATGGGAACTTCTACAGAGCAGGGTTTGATCATTTCTTTTTCGTTTGTTTTTCTATCAAAATGTCAGAGAATATAAAAGAAAACTCTAAGATTGCCAGGCTATAGGTTTTTTAGGCCTGTCGGTATCTTTGAACAGTCCATTCTTTTTTAAAAAAATTCGATCTTAATGTGGCTCGTACTTCAGATTTGATAGAATTAACTTTGGATTTAATGTGACCTGTAGCATTAGCACGGGTATTTATTATGTTTTGGGTATTGAAGAGGATAGATGATTTTGTCACTTAGATGTATACCTTGAGCTCTTGAACGGTGGCTTCTCCCCACTATTTTTTTCTGTGAATATTCAATCTATTTTATTTTATTCCGCGTTTGGTTGTTAATTTGCGTCACCTGAAATTAGATTTGCAGATTGTTCCATATCAAGAGAGCAAGGACTGCAGCTGAGCTGCGATATTTGTAGGGAAACAGAACTTCAAACTACCACTTATCTGGCTGGAGTTCAGGGTGACGCATGCTTAAGATTGATGAGTCTGGTGCTCTTTCACAAGGCGTGCTTGGCGGTGAGACAAGTTGGCGGGCTTTCATGGTCGGCCGTGGCGGGGGTACGCATCGCTCAAATGTGATTGCAAGGTAAAGCTCTCAACTGCACCTTTTTCATTTCTATTGCTCATACTTCAAACCTATATCTGAAAAAAAAATATGTTACAAATGTATGAATTAAGATTTTCATCATTCATTGGATCATGGAGCATCATGGGTAAATTTCAATAGGTGTGTTTTAAAAATTAAAGTATCTTGGCTACAGTATGATTATGGTGGTATTTCTAGTAAAAAAACTCGTTGCAACTCTAGGTTACATTATATATTTATCTCTACTGAATAACTTCCACTCTATTTTCTTTTGTTTGTTAGCCCAAGTACAACGAAGACTCTTGATAAGACTCGTGGGAACAGTGGCGGACCTAGCGTTTTATCACAGGGTATGCCACAGAAAATTTTTCTTATACAATCTGGTAAAACCATTTGATAAACAATTATGGAAATTTACAACGGAATTCGGTATAAAGGCACTAAACAACGTGAAAATAAGTCTTAAATTCAACAATTAAGCTAGAATGTCTAAGTTTTTAGTAGCAGTTTCTATATGGCCCTTAATGTCTCGACTATCTTATCTCCATCTACTTTTAAAAAAATATAATGAGACTAGATAATCATCCAAAAGACTATCACTCATCTTATTTATTAACCTTGTTTTTACTAAAACTATTACAGAAAATATCCTCGCAAGATATAAATATCTAATACTATTGTACTAATATTGGACGAACCGATCCCTAATCTAGTGATCTCGCTAGTCTCCCTGATACACAAACAAATTGCTGATAAATAATTAAGTGCACAAGTTACTTATAGAACAATAAGAAGATTAAATCTTAAACCCTGCAGCAAACCTGTCTGACAGCCTCGCATGTGGCGCCTCGGTCGGCCAGCCCTCACACCACGGCCACACTCACTCACGCCATGTGCTTCAGCCTCAGCCGCTCAGTGTGTCAGGCCGCCACCTGCCATCCAGTCAGTTGCCCGTCATGCGGCTCAGTGCTCCCAGTGAGAATTAGCTGGGGATTCTTTCCTCCCAGTGAGGAAATTATACAGTGCTCCAAAATTTTCACCCCAAACAGTTCAGAGGCTGCGGCTGGCACAATGGCCCAGTGGGCACCGTGAGCCTACTCCGACAAGCAGCGTACCAATGTACATTGTCCCAGGCCAAGCCATTGCAAAGTTGAAGTGCCCGATCGCCATCAGGACTTGAGCTATTGCTAATGCAATTGCCCTTGGATATGCATAATCTCTGAAAACAGGTCAAGGAATGCAAAAGGATCAGAGAAGAAAAGAGTTGATGTGAATAAGAAACACCCTAAATAAATTAAGAGTTGAGAAATTCAGAGTTATACTTTTGTTAATTCGTGATTGCAAACTAAATAACACAGTATTGCAAGTTTAGTTCACATGTTACTTTGTTCTGTTCTGTTTGTAGATACAGCACTTAATATTTATGTTTCAATCTATTTAGTATACACTATAGTTCCGTTCTGTTTGTTAGCTCCAGAAATTAATCCCTATGTTTCAGTTTCCTCGTCTCTGCTATGCATTTGTCAGGATGGTGTACCACTTTTGTCGACCTTCATAATCAGCTCTCAGTATCAATCTGAAAATCTATATCAGGCAAGAAATTTATTCTTAAACAACATTATGGCAGCAACAAACACTAGGTACAATTTGGTACACCTTTTGTTCCAAAACGAAGGTGTTTTAGTTTTATCTTAAGTCAAACCTAACATTGACCAAGTTTATAAAAGAAAATTAACATCTACAATACCAAATAAATGCACTTCAAGAAATATTTTTTTGAGATGTGTATCTTTGCATTAGAGAGAAGCGAGAGAGACCGTTCCCTTACAAGCAACCGCACTGACTCACCTAAGAGAAAAGACTGGGTTTAATTAAACTAACTTGATGTTTTAGATGGTGATGCATTTTTCTATAAACTTTGTCAAAGTTACAGAAGTTTGACTTAGGGCAAAACTAAAAACCCTACATTTTGGAACGGATGGAGCAAAAACATAGGTCAACATGGAAGGTGACTATGCTGCCAAAAAACATTTGAAAACAAAATATTTATAAAATGGCATGCGAAATAAATTCTATTCAGCAAAGAAGCATAACAATCTTACTTGACAATAATCTCTGAGAAGTACCCTCCACCAATACGTCCAAGAAAGTTCCAGATGCTAATCATTGACACAAAAATGTGGGTTTCCTCGAACCCAATGACTAGCTCATTTGCCCAAGATTATCAATCACAAAGTGAGACCAGATCCAGAGCCCAAAGCAAGAAGAGAAAAATAGAAGCCAGAAATCTGCCTTGATGAGCGCTTGCATCAGTGTGAAATCCTCTCCTCTCCGTGGACCTTTCCTCCTCTTAACCCTGACAGCACCAACAGCAGCTGCCTGAAATAACCTTGTCTGCAATTCTGCCATCCTTTTTTGCCTCTCTGAGGCTGGAAGTAAATCAACGTCCTTTGGCTTTTCATCCTCCACCTCGCTGAGTATAACCTCCTGTTGCTCCTCAGAAGATGTTGGTGCAGTTGGTTCTTCTTTCCGAGGTGATGGCAATAATAGTGCATAGAAAGTCTCACCATCATCCAAAAAGAAGCTGAGTAGAACTGGGATGACTATTGGAACTAATAAAAAGATTATTAGAATGATGGTCAACAAGACAGTCACTGACTGGCTTAAGTCGACAAGGTCTTCCAATAACATGACACCTATAAGATAAGTGGCCAAGAGCAAGCAGACGCTGTATACAAATGTGAAACTTGTGCCATCAGAAGGCCGCACTTGTCTGTGGCCTCCAACAGGTCTTACAATGAACATTAAAGCTATAACAACCATTGTTGGGCCAATTGCAACCATGAAGATCAGTGCAGCATCATCAGGAGAGTGTACAATTGCATAAATCTGCGTTAGAATTGCACCACTTAATCCAGCGAATCCTTTGAGGATACCCACAATTGGTCCACGGCTCTTGGGGAAGTTCTGAACACATGAGACAAGTGCAGCAGTGTTGAAGTATGTCTCACCATTGTTACCGATGAAGATTAGAATGCACATCTGGGGAAGGATGGCAAACTCTTAGTATGACACCCACATAAAGGCAATTCAAGTCAAGAAATTATAAAAGGTCAATAACAATTTCATTTTGCCCATGTGGCGATTAGCAAAAGGTCCGGTTTTGGAGGCCAAAAGCTGAATAGGGACTTGGAATCCTGTGCCAGAATGTACCGTAGCAGTTGGTTCTTATGTTAATAAAGCGTAGCGTCAGGTAAAAAGCACACTTGGTTTCATATATTGCTTTTTTCCCTTATGTTTGTCATGTGATTTGTGAGAGATAACAGGAAAAATCCCAGAAAATTAACAGTAGATCCACCTAACATTCAGTCAGTGAGACTCAAAACCATGATAGCCAGCCACAACCATACTGTTGGATTACACAGCCTGGAAAAACAATGGCAAGTAGACTAGCCATCAGTTTGCTACTAACTAATTATGCAGATGCGTTGCACACGCATGCTAGTGACAGATTGTTTGCAGTCTAGGCATTACCTTTTCCTGATTTATTTTAACAAATTTAGGCAACTCCATGTAGCCATATTTGGCTTACCAGTCAAATTCATATTGAAGGTGCATTGTGAAACGCATAAAGGAAATGACAAATATCAAGAGGCAACAACAGGGATGCACACTATTCAAAAGGTTACATGTTATCATTTATGTCATACAGTTGAAAGAAATTGTTTCTAAGCAGAACTCTCAGGATCTTTATTGAGAGCATGAACAAAAAAAAGTGAGCATCAAACTTCCATAATTTTAGATGAAGGTTTCGTAAGAACAGAAATGACTAAAACTAATCAAACTATATGTTATCTTGTTCTTTCTCAAGGACAAATAAGACAGCACAACGTTTCTTTACAGGTGGGAATCAACTAGAGGTGTTATGTTATAAATAGTATTGATCATTAGCCTCTACTTGTCATCTAATCCAAGAAAAGAAACAGTTCAGTTTCTTAAATAAAAATGCAAAATAATGTCAACTCTCTATCAATGTGGTATGGACTATAATGTTGCCTGAAATAATATCAACTAACTCGATGCTTTTATGGATGGGCTGTAGCCTTGTTTGAAACAAAGGGAGATTTGGCATGACAAATCTCAGTTGATCTTGAAACATTTTTTTTTCTTGAACCTTATCTTGATCTTAGGTATTTCAATAGTTCAAGTTATAGTGGCAACATGAACCAGAACACCTTTTGAAGCCCTAAGGAATGACATTCTTTCTGTAGAAAGAGATAAGATAACAACTATACATCTCTAATACTTTCTTAACAAAGAAGGAATCCTGTGATGTCATTTAACTTTCTGTACCCCTAAAACAAATCAAGTAACCTGCTGCAACTATATTTGATACAAAGAGAGTAATCAGCGCTGATGTTATAGACTGCAAATTAAGGGAGCAGAATAAGATACCGCCCTTAAATCACTGTATGATTTAATCCGCAGGTCTAAATCCAGACGAGCAGAGCTAGCAATGGGTGTGGACATGGGCAAAAACTCACCCGCGGATACTTGGTATCCGCAAAGATATGTGTATCAAATTTTATCTGCAGGTCTCGATGAGTATCTACAATTTTGAGAATAAATATAAATATCTTTAACATGTGTTATATACGTCGACTCACCCATTTAATATGGAACTTATAGCTTATGCCCATCCACTTGCATTGGTACGTGGTAATGGAACTCGCTGCAACCAATTTTCTTGTTGATAATAACAAGTGATAAAAAAAAAGTGGACTTGCGCATCTGGCCATGGGCATGATGCAGAAGGATCATGTTCACAGATGCAGATGCTCGCTTTGTGAAGTTCCCTTTCCCTTTATAGAAAGACTAGAACGATACTTGCGATGGAGGAGGCGACTCGTGCGAAGGGGGAGCTAGTATAGCTTTGCGTTAAACTCTGTAGCTGAGATGTAGGCTAATCGTTGTAGGCATTGCTTCTTGGTTAACTACATTGTTCGTTATAGTTTTAGGAACTCAGATTATATAAAATATGGAGTTTACTAGAGGCCGCGTGCGCAGGCGGCCACCCGCACGCCTCTCCCCACCCCGTACTATTCTCTTCCCCGCAGTCCCTGTAAGGATTGTTGATTACCTTTGTGTAACCGTAGATCCAGGTTAGGCTCCTCTCGGTGGCGTAGTTGCACCGTAGCAACGTAGACGCCAAGTTCGCCTTGGATGCCGCCTCGCGGACGCCAGTGCTCGGCGCGGTGGTGAGGAGGCGAGGTGGTGATCCAGTGGACCGATGGAGACCCTGCAGAGGCGACGGCGGAGTCGGCGGGCTTCCCGTCGCTGGCAGCACCACTTTAGATCGGATTAGGTTTCCTCTGTTAGGTGGGTATGACGGCTCCGTTGAACCTCATTATCCGAGCCCTGATCCCCACCTTACCTTTTATATGTGTTGTGCGACAGGGGCCCACCAACCATATTAGGGTTGGGCGTCCTCGATCAGGGCGCAAAGACAAAGAGCCCAATAGGCCGTTGGGCCTATTAGTGGAGATCAACTAACATTCTCCCCCTTGATCTCATTACTATATTTTAATTTCATATCATTTACTTTTGTTCATTCCATTACAGATTAGCGCATAGAGCATGTCTCATCGTCACGGTCCATTGGCGATAGATTTAACAGCTACAACACACTACTCTGTTCTGAAATAGATACTTATTTTTTGGCCTTCTTTTGTCCAGGAATTTTAAGCTTTCCCTTAAACCCATGCTAGCTATATGTTCTCTGAATACCATGTTCTCTGGACACGTTGGGTGGTAAGCCTTTTGTAAGTGGATCCACGAGCATTCTTTCTGTACTTATATGCTCAAGGCTTATGACATGATCTCGGACTTTATCTTTCACAACATAATACTCTATGTCAATGTGTTTGGCAGCACCACTTGACTTATGTTGTGAGCATACTATACTGCCGAATTATTATCGCAGTATAACTTAAGTGGTCTATATATGTCGTCAACCACTTCAAACCAGATATGAACTTCTTTAGTCAGTTCACCTGTCCGTTGCCTCATAACACGCTACAAACTGTCATACATTGTGGACGATGTAGTGATGGTTTGTTTTGAGCTTTTCTATGAAATAGTTCCCCCTTTACGAGAGTGAATACATATCCTTTCTGAATTTTCTATCATCTCTCGCATAATCAGAATATGAATATCCCACTATGTGGAGTGAATCAGATCTTCTATACGTCATCATGAGGCCTTTCGTTTCTTGCAAATAATGCAAGACTTTCTTTACCAATTTCCAGTGTTCTTTTCCAGAATTGCTCTGGAATCTGCCAAGTAACCCGGTAACAAATGCCAAGTCAGGGAGCGTACATACTTGAGCATATTGCAAGCTTCCGACAACTAAAGCATATGGAACCACTTTCAATTTGATCGATCTCATATTGGTTCCTCGGGCATTCAAAATCCCCATATCTGTCGCCCTTGACTATAGGAGCAGGTGAGGGACCACATTTATGCATACTGAATTTCTTTAAGATTCTTTCTATGTATGCCTTTTGTGATAGTCCTAATACCCCTTTACTTCTATCTCGGTGAATCTCGATCCCTAGAACGAACGAGGCTTTACCAAGATCTTTCATATCAAGTTTTGAGGATAAAACCTTCTTTGTCTCCAGTTGTAGACTGACATCACTACTAGCAAGTAAGATATCATCCACATACAGGACAAGGAAGATAAACTTCCCATTCTTAAACTTTGTATAGACACAATTGTCCTCTACATTCTCTTTAAACCCAAAATTCTTTATTGTCTGATTAAACTTTAAGTACCACTGTCTTAAAGTTTGTTTTAATCCATAAATAGATTTCTTTAGGCGGCATCCCATTTGTTCTTTTCCTTCCATGACAAAGCCTTTCGGTTATGCCATGTAAACTTTTTCCTCCAAGTCACCGTTGACGAATGTCGTCTTTACATCCATCTGATGTAATTCTAAATCGTAATGTGCCACTAATGTCATTATGATTCTAAAGGAAACTTTACATGAGACTGGAGAAAAGGTCTCATTGTAATCAATCCTTTCTCTTTGCATAAAGCCTTTTGCCACAAGTCACGCTTTATATCTCTCTATATTCCCTTGAGAGTCAAGTTTTGTTCTGTAGACCCATTTACAGCCTACTGTTTTGGCTCCTTTAGAAATTATTTCGAAGTCCCAAACTTTATTGGCATTCATTGAGTTCATTTCATCTTCCATGGCCTCAAGCCACTTTGATGAATAATCACTTCTCATAGATTCTTCAAATGAGGTGGGATCATCCTCCATTTGAAATTCCTCAGTGTTGTACACTTCATAATCAGCAGGAATAGCTGATTTTCTAACTCTTTGAGACTTTCTAGGGGCCTTCACATTTGGCACATCTTCTGTTTGAGGCTGTTGTTGCCCCCCCTCATGTGTGGCAATAGGTTCTATAGGATCCTGAAGAACAGATTCTTCATCGTCATTCATTGTTTCCACAGGTGGGATAACAACAGGTGCTGTCACCACAGTATCTAGCACTGTCGGTGCAGCGACAGCAGGTAGTGAGAAAAATGGCTCATGAATCATTGGAGTGGGCGCATACACCCGCTTCACTTCAAGGTTAATTTCTCGAGCTACCATGCTCCCCCTCATCAATTCATCCTCTAGGAAGACAGCGTGTCTCGTTTCCACAAACTTTGTATGTCTCTCTGGACAGTAGAAAACGAAAACCTTTTGACTTTTCTGGGTAGCCAAACAAATGACAACTTTCTGTGGCAGAACCGCCTGAAATAGCACACTTATGGAGGTGCTTGTCTACCACCAGACACTAAGCACCCCGAAAGTAAGCTACAGCGTGCGATATCCGTCAGGCACACCCTGAGAGAGAACCCGAAAGATCCACATTTTTCCTCAATGATCCAATAATGAAAATGAGTTACAATACCAGTTCATTTCATACATCAGAGTTTTCTTAAAAAAGTACATTATGACAATACCAAATACCATAGTGCGGAATAATAAACAGCGGAATTATAAATTAGCAACTAGCGATAAAGGGCGAGGATTTCATCTGAGCCCACCAGAAGGATCCTCCACACAAGGTACTCTTCAAGCATCACCTACAACAGAGGTAAATAAACCCTGAGTACGCAATGTACTCACAAGACTTATCCGACTAGTAGGAATAATTTCCTGACTCCAAGGATTATGATAGGCTTTATGGTTTGCTAGTTTTCTTTTAGCAAAACAGCTCTACTAGTGAGTCCTTATCCATGTCTTGTTATTTGCTGTATTAAGTTATCATCTAGCTAGTCTATATAAGCACCTGTTATACTTTCAAGCAAGAGTTGAGCAATCAGTTCCCATTCTTCTCATTTCCACTTTCAGTTCTTACTACGATGCCAGAGTTAAGACAAGCCATACTGACTCGGCGGTGATTCACGAATCGATGTGCCCAGCTGGGTGCCCCGAAACAGACGCCCCGCTTGTACCCCAGGCACAAGCAGGACTAACCCATCACTTTCCTGTCCCGGGGGTCCAGGTCCCGTCCAAACTTGGACTCCAAGCCCCCACTCCTGAGTCTTGGACTCAGTGTGGTGCAAGGACCTCCACCACCTCCTCTTCCCATCAGTCGGTCCGGAAAGAGCCGGATCCGTGACAAGAGAGCAACAAGCCTTCCCTGCGCCCATACCCAAGTATGCGCTCGGGACAATAGATCTGTGACTTGCCTAGCGTCCATTGCAACGATCGGTCCTTAATTGACATAGACAGGGAAAATATGTAACCAAGCTATGCCCTGTTGGCCACAGGACACAACCCCTTACACCCACTAGTACCCATTCCACATCCCTGCCCGGTCACCATTTACTTTCCACCATTTTATTATGAGTGATCATATTTATTATCTACTTGCGAGTAACGGCAGGTTACTCACGCTACCGACATCCTGAGCATAGCAGCTACTCGACCTGTACTAGTAGGACTCATAGGTGGATATATTTATGCATGTAGTTTCCATAAAATACCTATAACTTAAATGCACATCATATATATATATATATCGGTGATCATTTAAAAATAAGGGTTATGCACCGGGCTTGCCTTGGGCAGGCGCTGGGTCAGTAGGGTCAGCACCAACAGGCTCCTGGGCTCCCTCCTGCACGAAGATCTCCTCATACTCCTCGATCACCTCGTCGTACTCCGGCTCGCCGACGGGTACGAAGTCTACCGGTTCGTGATCTACATGAAATGATGATGAAATGTTTAATAAGATGACAACAACAACTCTTAACTTAGAAGTACATCTATTAAACTACTAAGTGAGGTCTACCCACTAAGGCTAAGCTATGTACCATCACCACTAACAAGTATGAACGTGACATACATTCTTATAGCAACTACATATATTCTTACTCCTAATGCCGATTTACGATATATACGATAAAGCAAGGATAATAACTACGCTATTTAGCAACTCGTTCTAAGGCTACCAATTTTTACAGCAAGTACATAATGGCCTAGGAAACCTACTGTAAAATTTTCATGTCGACAGCTATCACCAATTGTCCACAAATATTTCTACAAATATGACTCTACATAATATTAGCTATTTAGCTTTGAATTTATGACTCAATACTTACCACAGCTAACTACAATCTAACTGTACGAACATGTAGATAATAAGTTTACGAACCTAACAAAATTAATCTCACTATTTTTGGACAACTACGCAATTTACTACGATTTATCGAAATTGGATTCATAACTAAAATAAATAAGCATTTATATTCTCTGGAAATTAAGAAAACCGAATTCTCCATTTCGGCCCAACTCGCGCGGCTGGCCCGCAACGACGTGTCACGCGCGCCAACGCAGCGCGGCCCACGTGCGTGCGCGGCCCAGCCGGCCAACGGCCCGTGGCGGGAGAAAGGCCCGTGCGCGACGGCATTATGCGAAAACGTCCCCGAACCATTCGGTATTTGCTACAAGCTCTACGATACTATTTCGCTAGTCTACAGTTTTACATTTGCACCCTCCCCTTTCTCCTCCTTCATTGCGGCGAAGTCCCTGGCACCAGGGCGCGCACCGGCGCGACGGCGCGGGCACGGGATGGCTATGCCGGCGGCATCCGAACCTCTAAGGCCTAGCTAAAGGGCCGATGATTACCTCCACGGCAAGGCACGGTGTCTGGAAGCGATACGGTGGACAGGAGCGTCGTCCCGGGTTCCCTCCCCGGCGGTGAGCCCTAACCTGCAAAGGCGGGCGCGTTCCAGTAAGCAACAACGAAGGCAAAGCCAGCACATGAGCTAGCGAGCACCAGGGAGTGCTCACGGATACCTTCGCGTTGACGGTTCAGCCGGAGGTGGTCTGAGTAGAGCTGGCCGCGTGCGCGCGAGGTGGTGCGGCGGTGTAGATCTTACTGTTTTGTCGCGTGATGAGACTCAAATTTCAAAAAATAGAAAACCCTTCAATACGATGTCGGATGAAGATAAATTTTATATGTAAATTGTAGACCTCGATGAGATCTACAACTTTATAGTTTTAATTTTTTTCATTTGAGGACAGTAAGATGCTCGAAAAAAATAATATAAAATTTCACCACCATAATAATCGCCTACTCGCGCTTGCCGCATTAGAGCACTAATATATTATTTGTATGGAGTTAAATACTTTTTATACCAAAGTTGTAGCTCTCGATGAGATCTACAACTTTGTAGTTTTGAGTTTTTTCATTTGAGGAGGTTAAGATGCTTAAAAAATAATATAAAATTTCGACGCCCCCGAAAATATCAAAAGTTACTGTTCATACGGCAAAACCGTCCAGACGATTGAAAGTTAAACGGTTTCAAGAGTTGGAGGGCCAAAGTTATCCGGTTTTAAAGTTCGAGGTTGAAATTCGGACTTTGACGAGAGTTGGAGAGTGTAAATTGGACTTTACCATAAAAATAAATCATGTAACAGCATTGGACTTATACAAAACCGAACCCAAGCCAAAATATCCTTTTCTTTATTAGACCTATATATCGTCAGATTAACCTTTTCAATTAAGAATCCTCAAGTTGTTCATGGTATTACGTACGCTCTTCAGTCTGTACAAAAAATGCACCAAAAAAATCAATAACCACAAAAAATATTAAAAAGAAAGAAAAGGAAAAGGAAGAAACAAACAGAGAAAAAAAAACACCTTCAAACTTTGGCAACTGTATGCAAAAAAAAAAAGAGAGAAAAAATAATCAATCTCAGTATACGCATCTCGATCAACTCCAAACAGCATTGAGATAATCTGAGTTACAAACGCTGCTGCATGCAGGCCCTCCCTCTAATGGTTGAAGGCAGTGCAGACTCTTCTGATCTCTCCATCCTTCCCTGTCTTCACCCCTAACCTCCCCAGCTTGAGCATGGCGGCTTTGAAAGCATCAAAGAACTCCTCCTGGCTGGCGGCGAACCTGTCGACGATGGGCCTGGTAGTCTCGTCGGTGTAGAGCACCTGGTCGGAGGTGAAGAGCCCCAGCCCGTACTGCAGGTTGGTGTAGTAGGCGTTGTCGAATTTGATGGGGCTGACGGGGTCCATGTTGACGGCGATGGTGGGGCCGACTCTGATAGGGCACGCCTGCTTGAGCTGATCCGCGTAGTCGGAGTTGAAGGACGGGTCCGTCGGCGTGCTGCTGCTGTAGTTGTAGAGCCTGTTGGTGAAGCGGGTGCAGTGCGCGAAGCCGACGGTGTGCGCCCGGAGAGGGCGATCATCTCCTTCGTGGTGAAGCCGTTCGTCTGGAACACCGGGGTGAGCTCCTTGACGTGCATTTCCGGGGCCGGCAGCTTCCCCTTGACGTCGCTCGCCCTGGAGGCGAGGGCGTCGAGCCGGCCGAGCTCCACGCGCCAGTAGGGGCCATCCGCCTGCATGCCATTGCCACCACCAATATATCATCAGGTTGATCCAGGGCCGGGACTGGCTCGATCGGAGGCTAGAGAGATGAAGGCGGTGGGTGTGGCTTGTTACCAGGTAGACGACGTCTCTGGCGGCGAGCGCGATGATGTCGGCGCAGGACACGACGCCGGGGCACTTCTTCTCGACGGCGTCCTTGACCCGGTTGATGGTGTCGAAGCCGTCGCCGGCGAGCGACTCGTTGTCCTCCGCGTCCTTCTCGGCGTCGTTGTTCTTGGACGCGATCAGGACGGCGGCGTCGCAACCCTGTGATTGTTGAGGTGAAACGGCAGGATTACTCATCACATTACTTATTTCTTTTTCTTTTTTATACTTTTTGCAATTAGAAATGTAATGTTCCTGCGAGTAAACGAAAAACATAGAGCATATTTGGCAGTTGAAATTGTGTTCAGAAAACTTGACAACGTCCATATACATTGGTGACCGGAAAATGTATTTTGCTCCTATAAAGAAATTAATAAGGTTTAAAAAGCCTGAATATGAAATACGCCTGCCTATCCGTAAGCGTGGGGGTCCTATACAACTGGTGCTCGACGTGAGCTCACTAAAGATTTCTAAACGGGCCGGTTGAAACGGGTTGGCACGAGCCCGGTGCGAAAAAGCCCGGCCCTAGCCCGCCACAGCCGTGCCCGTGCCTGGCCCGGCCCGGTACCATGCCCGTGCCTAGGCCGAGGAGTCGGCCCATAGTGCCGGCCCGGGCACGGCCCATTACAACGGGCGGCACGGCTCAGGCACGGAGGGGCGCCGGCGGGGCTGCGGGCCTGCGGTACATAAGCCACCCGCCGCGGCTGGCCCCCCCAGTCCCGCACCATCCAAACCCTAGCTCATTTCGCCTGCTCTCGTCTCCCTCACGCCACTCTCGTCTCGCTCGTCGCTCTCGCCCGCTGTCGTCTCGCTCCTCGTTCTCGCCCGTTTTGCCTGATCCTCGCCTCGTTCCCCTGCTCCGCCGTGTCCATGGCGTTCTCCGGTGGGTAAGGGGTCAGATCCGTGAACTTATGATTTGAATGAATGTTTTTGTAATTTCAGTGCCAGGGCCGGCACGGGGCACGCTGGGCTGCCGTGCCGGCACGGCACGCCAAGCACGGTCCAGCAAGTTTAGTGCGGTGCCTGGGCCTGAACTCCGGCACGGCGGCACGGCACGGCACGGCACGCCTCATTAACCGTGCCTGTCGTGCCGTGCCCAGGCGGGCTAGGGCCGTGTAGTGCCGTGCCGGCACGTTTGGAAATCCGATGTATTAGGTCAACCCAGAAAAGAAAAGAAAAGGTGGAGGAAAAAAGGACTGGAATGAGATGCCAGCTGCTTGCTTGCCAGGATGCCACTAAACAACACTAGCAGAGACCAGAGAGCCAGCCAAAGGCAGCATCTTCGTCATATTCTTGGCAACATGCATGTAACCAGCTGTTGAGCTGCAGCAGGTAGGAGTGTTGGGTATATGAATCCTTCCAAAAGCCGAAACCAAACCAGCTGCAAGTGAGTTGGTGAAACATGATTGAAATCGTTTCCCAAGCAGCCAGCTACGCCTGGACCTGAAGAATTCTCCATAAAAAGTTTCTGCGAGAATTTTCAGAGCCCAGAAACAGATGAGTTGGCCGTCCTCATTTTCGGCAGGTCGACGACGCGCTCGCCGCTCGGGATTCGGGGTGTGGTGATTTCTGACGAGACGCCACGCCGCTGCCCGCTGCCTCCGACACGGCACACGGCTGGCATTTTGATAATCCGGAGGGGCTGATGAAAAGCCGCGTCGTCACATGCGCGCCCTGCCGCAACCGACGACCACGCGGGGCTCTCGAGTTGTTCCCTCCCCTTCCCCGGCCAAATCGAATCCGGTTTTCTATTGGCAACATCTCAAGGCACCCATTTCTTTTTCTTTCTTTCTTTTCAGCACGATTCACAGAAGAGCAGCACAGGGCAGGCAGGGCTTGCGAGTTGCGATGAGCCAATGAAGGACGAACTGGGAAGCAGAAGAGGCAAGCGGCAGACAGCCCATGTTATCTGACTAGAAAAGCAGTGTGCAACTTGCAACTTTTGTGGTTCCAAAGACGGCTTCTGCCTTCTTGGACCGAACAGAGGAAAGGAGATGAGAAAGAGTGATTCTGATTCCTCCACAACAGGGGAGAGCAAGTTGAGAGAGGAAGGTGAGAGTGAGTGGGAACTAAACTCTGCTGCTAGCACGCACGAATCACAGCTGAACCGAGAACCAGACCACCACCCAAGGAAAAAAAATACAGATTAAAAAAAATCAAATGCAGTAGATCAGTAAGTTGAGCACCATGTGCAGTCCCCCTAAAAATTGTGCATCTCGGAGCAAGGATGGGGAGCACGCACGAATGAAACCATGGATGAGTGCGATGAAAGCAAAGGAAGAGGAGAGCAGAGGAGAGGATTCGTGGCGTGTGCTACTACTCACCCCGACCATGCAGTCGTGGAAGACGAGGCGGAGCGTCGCCGGGATGGTGACCACCGTCTCGTTCTTCTTCCTCGTCACCTCGTACCGCACGATCGACTCCAGGTCCGGGCAGCTGTCCTTGTAGTAGTCCGGCGACAGCGCGGCCGCCACGCGGGGCGGCGACGGCATTGCGGCCACCGTCAACAACGCCGCCAGCACCATCAGGGACGACACGCCGCCTCTTCGTCGCTTCTCCATGGCCGGCCGCCGGCCCCGCCTTGGCTGTCGGGGCCTGGCTGGGGCGCGGTGGCTTGGTGTAGGGGAGGCCTGCTAGCTGGCCGGAGCGGCGGGGTAGAGGAGGAGGAGGAGGAGGCGGCGGTGCTGAGGAGCGGGGACGAAGTGGTGGAGCCGAACGGGCGAACGGCTATGGTCGCGGGCAGCGGGGATGCCGGGGGGACGGGGGTGAATGGAATGGAAAGCAAAGGTTTTATAGCAATCAGCCAATGTCTCGATGAGAGAAATGATTGGCCGTTGCCGTTAGGCCTTTTTATAAATAAATATATATAATTTCTCCATTCCGAAATAAATATTTTCTCAATTCCCTAAAAGTCACTGACTTTTAACTTTAACCAAATATATACTCTCTCCGTTCCTCCAAATTATAAGTCGCTTCGACTTTTTTATATTCATTTTGCTATGCATCTATAGATATATTAATATGTCTAGATACATAGCAAAATAGATAAACCAAAAAAGTCAAAGCGACTTATAATTTAGAACAGAGAAAATATAAAATATTAATATTTATAGTGTATAATTAATATCATTATATAGATTGTTGAATTATTTTTATAATAAATATATTTAGAGATACAAAGTTGACTGGCACGAATACATTAGCGACACTTATTTTAAGACGGATGAAGTATAATATAATAAAGTTAATAATAAAACTCCTCAAGCTAAATTAGAATGGTTCTATTTTTTTTAATGAAATTGGTTATGCCAGGAGCTCCAACGAGTTATATGTTGCATATATAATCTCTTGATTGAGCTCTCATACAGTCATACTTATCTACATTTTTTCCTTATAAAAAAAAAAGTCTAGCTACGTAGCAAAAGATGGGGGGGCATCTCATTTTGTGATGTCGGGCAAAAGTGTTTGCTTTAACGGTTTGTGGAGGCACAAAGTAAGGCCTCTCGAGACTGCGATTAGATCATCCTTTATGGTTGATTTTTTTGGTCCATTTTTTTTGTAATTCCAATTAGTCATTTTAAACACATTGAGTAGGAAAGGGATTCTACCCTTACAAGTACAATAACAATTTTGTTTGAGATCCCATGGTTTTGTACATTTCTCTTAGAAACTTCCTTTGAGGCTACTACGATTTCCTTTCCTCCTAACGTAATATATTTCATTTGGACACAGTATCAGAAAAAGCTTAACTTAGGATAGTTAAAAGCTCTATATCTATATCTATATCTATATCTATATCTATATCTATATCCATATTCTATATATCTTATAATCTTAAACCCACTATCACACGCGTTTAACTATTGTTATTAGTATGCCACGCCATCCACTATAATTAATTTATAATAGTTTATTCCTTCATATAAGTAATTTAGTTTAATTTTATTCAAATTCATCCATAATTTTCGCAGCAACACGCGAGGTATACTTCTAGTATAATAAATCTATGAGGACATCCACACCGCCTTTTCTCAATAGATTTTTTAATACATCTCTATCTATGTCTCTGTCTCTGTCTCTGTCTCGGACCTTCTTATTTCTTGTGCATCATATTTATTTTCTCTTCTCCTTAATTCCTGTGATGAGGCATACAAGATCTTCTATTGTTGGACTGAGGAAGTAATGTACATGGGTTAATTGTTACTATTCCTTTTGTTTTCGTTGTGTCCTGCCTGTAATGTTGTTTAAAATTAAAAAAAAACTTGGAGAGAAGGATGGCGACAACTGTGATCGTCAAACTCACGGAGAGAAATAGGAAACCGAAACCGAAACCGTGTGGTGTGGCGTGTGGAAGCACGCAAGTGCTTCGTGAGGCGCATTCAGGGGAAGCAGTCCAACTCAGCAACTTGTATTGCCCTACTGCTGGTTGCGTCGCATCTGCGTTGGGGCCCATGAGTCGACCCCGGTTTCAGCAATTCAGCCTCGGATCCCGGGATCACCCGACGGACGGGACGCCAACGGCGCTGTCCTGTTGTCCACCTCTCCTCGTCTCCTCGTCTTCACCTGCATCATCCTGCTTCACGCTTGCCCTCCTCGTCGCTCTTCTCCGCTACGAATCTTCGCACTCGCACAAGAATGGTCGCTGCCCCCAACCGCAAAGCAATGCTCGCCGCCGACACACCGTATCGTCTGTCCCCCAGGCATAACACTAAGGGGGGCAGACACCCAGGAAAGGAAGATTCGCTCGATGGACGTCGGCAGCGAGAAATTTCATTATTTAACCCGAGTTCGCAAGCATCGCAGTATTTGACATCTAATTCGTAACTCTTTCGATATTTAATCCTGCGCACGTGAATTGTTTCAATTCGAGGGATTACGAAGGATTTGTCTCGTTTCTTATTTCTAACCGTCTCTTTACACTGTTTAGGCAACAGGAAATGACGATACTACCCTCCACTCTTTTCTGTGGTCTGGACGCTCGCCCAACACCTCGCTTCTCTCGGTTCGCGCACTTTTCTCCATGACATCTTCCCTGTCGGCTCACCCAACAGTTTTCATAGTCCCCAGAACTTAAATTTTACATAGATCTAACATATTTAGTCCAAATCAACATAAACAACGCATAAATTATAATCAAATTTCAACGTACACAATAGAACCAGTCATACAATTTAGTAAATAGGTTCAAGTCAAAAATACAACCATGTAGGCAATTTAAAGAGTACAGGTTCACATAGAGACAATAGAATCATCCAGTCAATTTAAGATTACAGGCTCACATAGATAAAAGAAACATTCCGATGACCGAGAATCTAGAACAATACAAAAGTCTCCAAACATTGTTTTAGGAATATTCAAACATCGATCTTCTTTCCCTTCTTTAGAGTGAGTTTTTTCTTCAAACCTAGCCTCTTTCTTGGAGTGGCCATAGTATTACTCGCCCCTTCTCCGGTTTGACTAAATACCATAGGAAAATAGACCGGTTCAGTATATGAAGTAAGATAAGCACAAACATGTTAAACAAGGTGAATCATTTTACCTTCTAGTAACTGCTCTAGGGCTTGCAGTGATCTGATTAGTGCCTCCAAATTCCACCATTGTTAATTGCATTTGGCTAAAAATAAGACAAATGTTTAGCCTAAAAAATAGATAGTGTTCTAAGTTCCAAGTCAATGTTCAGTTTATAGAAATTCATCTTCTTGTAATAGGCCCGGGACTAGTGCTAATTTCTTTTGTGCCTTCTAGTTCTTGCGCAGGTCCAGGACTATTATTCACTGAATTTTCTTGCACATGAACCTTTTGCCTTATGGATGGACTACGAGCCGCATCACCTTTGGTAGAACCAGCAGGCCTACCTGCCTTTCCTTTCTTGTCCGACTTTTCCTGTAAATGTAAAATTGAGATAAGTTCAAAATATGAAGAAAATATGAGTTAGGTCGAAAAAGACAGAGACATTTACCTCTTCTTTGTTTCATTGAGAGGACACTTTGGGGATGTTGTCCTATGGCCATGACCTAAGCAATTTTTGCACTGCACTTGCCACATGCCTTTGTCCCTAGGTTTGCTTCCCTTGTTCTCAGTGCAGCTAGGTATTCTGAGTTTCCTTTGTCTTTCAACCTCTCTCTTATCGAGTGGTGGTAGCACTTTAAATCCAGGATCCACACTTGCCCATTGAGACTTATCAGGTAGTGGTTTGATCACACCACCATAGGCTAGTCTAAAATGGTACACTGAGTAGTATAGATAAGGCAATCTTCCATCTTAGGATTTCTATGTGTGGTGATTAGAAGCAAAGCATGTGCACATGGTTTTTCTGAGACTTGCCACTCCCTACAGGTACATGTGTGATTCTGAATATTAACCACATATCTTATGATCTTTTAGGAATCTGTGACCTCTGTCACCTCTGCTTCATCCCGTCCACCTTCTTTTATTTTCAAGTGACCCAACTGACGACTCATTGCATATAGTTGACGAACAACTATTGGCAGCATTACATGTCCTTCAAATTTCTCACCTATTCTCCTCCTTCTTGCATAAAGCTCCATGAACTTTGACCTAAGAGTGTCAGCAAGGTCAGCTATGGGAAGGTCCTTAATGTCCTTCACCCAATTGTTCCAAACCTCTGCCACATTATTAGTGATATGATCACACTTTATTGCCTCTAAAAATTTGCTCCTCATCCACTTCAACTTGTGATTGGCTTTCAACCATAGCTCAACCTTTTTATTTACTGCATACATCTTGTTCATTAAGTACTCATGGTATTCTGGTTGGAAAGTCCTTGCTGTAGGATACATTCTCCCAAATGCAGGTCCTTGAAACCTCTTGCTGAAATTCTTCATGAGATGGACAAAACATTATCTATGCTCTACCCAAGGATATACCTTCTTCACTACATTCTCTAAACCCTTGCAAGCATTTGAACTTATAGCTAGGTGCGGTGGATTCCCAATTGCCTTTTTGCAGCTGCTGCATAAACCAAGTCCAATTATCAGTAGTCTCACCATCAAAAAACCCAAATACAACTGGAAACATCCTGTTGTGTCCATCTAGTGCTGTAACTGAAGGTAAGTGGCCACTCCATCTACCATTGAGAGCTGTGGAGTCAATACTAAAAAATGGCCGACAACCATTTAAGAAACCATCAATGCTTGGTTTCAAACAATAAAAGAATATGTGGAAAAATACACCTTCCTCCTTATTCACGACGTCTATCTCTACAACACTTCTTGGCATCCTGAGCTCAATCTCTGCCTTGAAGTTGAACAAATATCCAAAGCTTTCTTCCCATGTCCCATGAATTTGTTCTCCTGCCACAACAAAACCCTTATGCACAGTACCATACTGTCGGGAACCTAATACCGGGGTACTCAAGGAGATGGAACTAATAACCATCGAACATTAAAAAACTCCCGAACAGACAAGAACACTGCTGTGCTTCTGGCCCGAACGATGGGAGATTGGTTCCGCCTCACCCGACGCCCACAAGCTAGCTCCACCTCACCCGACGGCTGGAGAACGGCTCCGCCTCGCCCGAGGGCTGAGGGCTCGGCCTCGC